AGGTGTAGCAGGAACGGCGAAAACGGAGGAGATTGTAACAATACGTATTAAAATTTGTAACTTAGAAGAGGAATTTCAGTTTTTCATTGTTAAGGGAGGCTTTGATTGTGAATTTTTATTAGGATTAGACGCAATAAAAAAATTCAAGCTCTGTCAGGATGAAAATTTGATTATATCACAGAAACAAGAAAAAAAATTTAGATAAGCAAAATAACATTAATGAAATAAGTACTAATAGAATGGAGAGTATTATAAAAAAAAGGAAATAATCTTTGCCAAATCAAAGTTTGATATAGGAACAGTAAAGGATTATGAAGCCACAGTGAAACTGACAGAAAATAGATATATTTCAAAGAAACCTTATAGATGCTCATTTCAAGATAAATTAGAAATAGAGAAACAAGTAGAAGATTTGTTAAATGCAGGTTTAATAGAGGAGTCAAGCAGTCCTTATGCAGTTCCTGTAACCATGGTTTTCAAGAGAGAAGAAAGAAAAAGATCACGCTTGTGTATTGATTTTAAAGAGTTAAACAAAATAGTAGTGCCAGAAAGTCAGCCCTTTCCAAGGATAGATGATCTTACTATACGCGCCAGAAATTGTAAGTTCTTTACAAAATTGGATGTGAATTCGGCGTTTTGGTCGATTCCGGTGCGTGCAAAGGACAGATATAAGTTGGCTTTTGTGACGCATCACGGACACTGGCAGTGGAAATGTTTACCCTTTGGTTTGAAGTCTGCTCCTGCTATTTTTCAAAGAGTTTTAGCAAGTGTGATAAGAAAAAACAAGTTAGATGCTTACACAGTAAATTATATAGACGATATATTGGTGTTCTCTAAGACTTACGAAGAGCATGTATACCATGTAGAGCAAGTACTGCAAGCACTATATGAACAAGGTTTTAAATTGAATAAAAATAAATGTAAGTTCGCCCAAGAAAGGATAACATATCTGGGACACGAAATTGGAAGCAATAGGATTAAACCAATAAATGATAATTTAGTGGCCATTAAGAAGTTTCCCACACCCAAAACAAAAACACAAGTTAGACAATTTTTAGGTAAGATTAATTTTTATTTGAAGTTCATACCAAATCATGTTGTCTTACTGGATCCTTTGAGTGTTAAGAAATAAGGTATCTTTCGATTGGTCTGAAGAGTGTAGGAACAGTTTTAATTCGACAAAAGAATATTTGTGTACAGTTCCTGCTTTGGCAATTTTTGATCCAGAGGCTCCAATATATATTTTCACTGATGCAAGTATTGAAGGAGTTGGAGCAATATTGAAGCAGCCACAGGAAGATAATTCCTTGAAGTCGGTGTTTTTCTTTTCTAGAAAGTTGACAGAGGCTCAGAAAAAGAAGAAAGCCATCTTTATAGAATGTTTAGCCATTAAAGAAGCCATTTCATATTGGCAATTTTAACTGTTGGGGAAAAAGTTCTTGGTATTTACGGACCACAGACCCTTGGAAAATTTCAATATAAAGAAAAGTAATGATATGGAACTAGTGCAGATTTTGAATTATATTTCACATTTTGATTTCAAAATTGTATATAATCCAGGTAAAAACAATATTGAAGCTGATTGTTTGTCTAGAAATCCGGTTTTGGAATCACACGAGGATACAGATAATGATTCTGTGATTAAAACTTCAAATTTATTGAAATTGAATGATATCAAAGAAAATCAAAAATTGTTAAAGATCGATGATAAATGCATTATTAAAGATGATATAATTTATAAAATTTTAAATAATAGAGAAAAAATATGGATCACTGAAGAATTCGGAAAGTCGCTCATTACTGATATACATGTTGATCAGGGTCATATAGGCACAAAACATTTAATTTTAACTTTTGGCCAAAAATTTTATTTTAAAAATATGTATAAACACATAAGATTAACTTGTAGATCTTGTGAAACTTACATCAAAAACAAATCAAGAATAGGCTGCTTTAAAGCACCTTTGTCTCAACTCGGTCCAGCAAAGGAACCTCTCGAAATAGTGTCTATAGACACAATAGGAGGTTTCAAAGGCAATAAAAGTACAAAAAAATATTTACATTTGGCGGTGGATCATATCACAAGATTCGCTTACGTAATAACTTCAAAGACTCAAGTGGCAAAGGATTTCATAAAATTAATTAAGAAAGTAGAAAAAGATGGGAGTATTAAATTAGTCTTATCAGATCAGTATCCTGGTATAAACTCGGCACAGTTTAAGCAATATTTAAATAAACAGAAAGTAGCATTGGTTTTTACAGCAGTGGATTGTTCGTTTTCTAATGGACTAAACGAAAGGACAAATCAGACTTTGGTAAACAGAATACGATGTAAAATTCATGAGAATAAAAATAAATCATGGCCTCAGGTAGCAGAGGAATGTGTAAAAGATTACAACAACACAATTCACAGTTCGACCGGATTCACCCCTAATTATTTGCTGACAGGACTAAACTATTCATTTCTACCCGATGAAGTAAACGATAATAATTTGACGAATTTGGTCAACAATAGGAAAATAGCTTTTAGAAATTCAAAAGAAATTCACAATCAGAATAAGGAATATTACGATAAGAATGTAAAACGGATAGATTATAAAGTAGGAGATTTAGTCTATGTACAAAGCGTTAATAAATTGAACAAAGATAAAATAGATCCAATTAGAGCAGGTCCTTTTAAAATTAAAGATAAAATTTCTGATGTAATGTTTTTGTTAGATAGTAGATTTAGAAAAAATGAGTCAAATATTTTTCATGCGAGCAAGCTTGTTCCTCAATCCGATGGAGTGTACCCTCGGTCTTAAAAGGGGGGATGTAAGCTTGTAAGTTATCAAGCTTGGCTTTGTCGCCGCTGGTCGACTCGTGCGTGAGAGTCAGTATGTAACAAGACTCCGAGCTGCGAGCATTGATGTTATCGTACGGAGGTAGATAAAGGCTTGCTATCGGCAATTGTATTGATTCAGGTTAGTTTTAAGTTTACTCGTTTACTGTAATATCTCCGGCCTTTGCTAATGTGTACACATCATTAATATTACAGTTGATTACTGCATCTTGCGTGCTGATTCTTGAACCGAACCTTCACTCCATTTAAGTTCCTTACAAAGTGGCTTACATATATATAATATTTATTACTTGTTTTATACAATATTATATTTGCTATACCTACTATATTTACTATACTATATACTACATTATATTTTCTATTTTATGTAGTATATATTTGAGTATTATTATACTACTTTATAATCAATATTTATTTTAATTATTTATTTTTTAAAACTTTTACATTATATATTACTTATTAGATAAGGAGGCCCACACTTGGGGGACGTCACCGTCAATATTTATAATGTCACGATCAATATTTTTTCTTTCGCTCTCATCCTCATCGTCATCATTTTGATTACCGTCCTTATTATTATATTCGTCGTCACCTTCCTCGCTGCGCTTATTCGCTGACGGGTCAAATCGCGCAGCATCGCGATTAATGCTTCTAATTCTTGCAGCATATAACCGGATGGGGTTGCGCGCTTTTCTTAACAGCGATACGATAAGTCCTTTGCGTCAAAAATAAATATTATTGATAAATATCATCAATAAATACACAGCGTTATTTATTTTTGATAAAAAAATATAATTTTACGTTTGTAAACTTACAAGCGATCCTGCATATGTGCGTCCTCGTCGACGCAAACTGTCAAATGGAGACAAAGCGGCGCTCTTTGTACGATGTTAAAGAGTCGATCCTGCAACTGTAGGATCGCTTGGTGGAACTCGTCCGTAGCCGTAGCTACGGACGTTACGTGAATTTGCATTTGGTCACAAATTGCGCAAAGTTCGTTCACTTTATCCATTATGCCTCAATAGTATACAATAGTTCGCGTAAAAAAATACAGATAGACTACACCCAAGTCTAGCCTCGAGCTCTTTATGTATCGAGAAAGTGCAACAAAAAAAAGGATATTGCGGTAAAAAAATATACTAAAAATAGCATTTTTTGCGTCGAGGAAAAAATGCATCGAGGGAAATAATGCATTTTTATCAAATCGACTCATCCACCGGAATCGTCGACGCAATTTTTTTCCACCCGAGACCCCCCGCTCTAGCCACGACTTCTTTATATCGAAAAAGTGCAACAAAAGGAGGATATTGTGGTACAAATATAATAATAACATTTTTTTACAGCCAGGAAACAATGTATTTTATCACACCGACTCGTCTGCCGGAATCTTCGACGCGTTTTTTCCCACCCGAGACCCCCGCCGCCGTACCTATCCGCGTTGAGAAAGCGCGACAAAGGGAGGGCATCGCGATAAAAAAAATATAATAAACACAGCATTTCTGCATCCGGGAAAAAATGCATCGACGAAACGATGCATTTTATCAAACCGACTCATCCGCCGAAATCTTCGACGCATTCTTTTCCCACCCGAGACCCCGCCGCCGCACCTATCCGCGCCGAAAAAGCGCGACAAAGGGAAGATATCGCGGTAATAAATACAATAAGAATAGCGTTTTTTTTTACATCTAGGAAAAAATGCATTGAGGAAAATAATGCATTTTTATCAAGCCGACTCATCCGCCGGAATCTTCGACGCATTTTTTTCCCACCCGAGTCCTTCGCCGCCACCTATCCGCGTTATTGCTAACGAGCGTCCTCGCGTAAACGTTCGCATCCGGAGCGCTCGTCGAGATCGCGCTCAAATCGCAACGCGCCGTCATCGCAGTTCCGCCGTCTCTCTCGCTCTCGACGATGTGGCTCGCGCGTAATCGCGTTAACCGCGTGTTTTATCGCCGCGAGGTGCATCAATCCCACAATTACGGACGAAAATTATGCGCTCACGTTCGATTACCTGCAAAAATACGGATATCAGTCCAAAGACGTAGACGCGGTTCCGGCTCAGAGACGAAACAACGTTCTTCGCAAAGCGTTCGAGGATTTTCAGAATTACTACGATTTACCCGGCGATGGAACGCCCAACAACGAAACGCTGCAATTGATGAGTAAACCGCGATGCGGTTTCCGAGATATCCTGAAGCACGGAACGAAAACGAGCCTATTCAAATGGCCGAAGACGCACCTGACGTGGAATTTTCACTTAGCCGACGAGACCGAGCTGAGCACGGCGCGGGCCGCGTTTGACCTGTGGTCGCAGCATTCGGCATTGACGTTCGAACGCTCCGAAACAAATGCCGACATTATAATACCTTGGCGACGCCTACGTCACTATAACACGAATACCAAGGTAAACGGAGCAATTTGCTCGGACAAATTCGACGGTCCCGGCAACGTGCTCGCCCACGCGTCTCTCCCGACAGACCAAGCGGGGTTCGTCTCCGAGGTGCACGTCGACGGGGACGAGCCGTGGCACATTTACATCAATAAACATCCCGCGGATAGGTTCTCCCTGCATTACACGCTGACGCACGAGATCGGCCACTCTCTCGGATTGGTGCACAATAGGCGCAAAACATCGGTGATGTTCGCGATACAGCCGGACCAGCAGTATCCGGTGAAGCTCGACCAAAACGACATCGCCGACATTCAACGTTTGTACGGTGAAAAAAGTACGAACGAGCCCCCGCATCAGACGCCGGCGCCGCCGCCGCCATCGCCGGACCTGTGCAGCCTCGATCGCGTGAACGGGATATTGATTTTAAAAAATCGAATGTACATCTCGTACAAGCGTTACGTTTGGTCGATCGATCTGGACGGTAGGACGTACAACGGACCTTTAGCCCTTTCGAATTACATGAGCTTTCTTCACGACAATTACACGCGCGTGACCGCCGCCTATCAATCCCCGTCCGGCGATCTCGTGGTGTTCGTAGATAATTTGGTATACTTGTTTCAATATCCGGAATTTAGTCTGCGGCCAGGTTGGCCGAAGACCTTGCAAGAACTCGGATTTCCCGAAAACACGGTGAACGCCCACAGAGGACATTAACCTTTGTGGTGTTCAACGGTAACTTGGTGAGCGAGACAGACGAATGCGACAAGGACAAGAGAGTCGCCAAATTTACGCCCCTCGAGGTGACGTTTCCCGGAATACCGACCGGCGCGGCGTGACGTCGAACTTGCGCTACGTCGACGGCAATCTGTACTTCACCACTCGGGCACAGTTCTACAAATTCAACAAATTTACGAGGACCGTCTCGTCGGCCGGTAAATTCGATCTGCGGATACTAAATATCGTCTGCTCTAAGGCCGAACTGTTGCAGCAGTTGCGCGATCTCCTCGATCAAATCGTACGCCTCAATGATAACTCATTAACGTCACCGGCGAGCGATTATTCGGACGATGACGACACCGGCGTTCGGCTCTCCGATCGCCGCATTCGCCGAAGGAAGTAGAGGACCGCGCAAATTTCCCACACCACGCCACGCGCGACATAAGTGAGATCTTTCTTACTTATACCGATGTGTCCCCTTAAAGCATCAGTATCGCATCGTCGGCCGAATACGACGCGTCGGAAAAAAATCAGAAACGAACGGTTGGCGCAGCGCGCAGTGCGAAATGTTCTCGACGTTGGCCGATCGACCCGCGCCGAGGGGTATTTCCCCTTTGGAGACGGCGGATTCGGAGGCGAACGACAACGGCATTAAAATACAAAAGATCAGTTTGGTGGACGATCGTCATTATCGTCATCATCGTCAGGAGTCGCGTCGCAGCTCTCATCCTCCCACCGACGCGCCCGTCGAAGACGATCGTCATTATCGTCGTCATCGTCAGGAGTCGCGTTCCAGCTTACCCTCCCAACGACATGCCCGTCGAATTGCCCGCGGTGCGCGTCCTGACGACGACGACTGGCTACAAGTACGTAGCCATAGGTATCACGATTAAGTAACCGGGGTACAGTATTCATAACACGCCTTCGTGGATATCGTCCTGAGAGACAAACAAGGCAGGGAGATCTCCCTGACGCTCGACATGTGGAAAGGACTGGTCGAGCGCAAACGCGACATATTGTCGTGCATGGAACACAGTCTCTCCGATGAAACTCGCCCCCCCTCGCTAATGTCGATCGAAGGGATGACGCTGCGATTCGAAGTGATCAACAACACGCCGATCCTACGTATTGAGCTACCCAACTTGGCTCGCGTGGCGATGGTGCTCAAAACCCTGCTCACGCTGTACGATCTCCAATTTTGCATCGATCGCGTCGTCTCGGCGCTGAGCGCGGCGACCGAGGAGGTCGACGCGAAGTTTTCGCGCTATCGGGAGATAGCCGCCAACGCGATCAAAGTGGGAACTTCGGCTCAGACTGCGATACTGAACAACAACGAAGAAAGGCGATCGAGACCCGCGAAACGAATGACCTTAAACGCATTTTCGCGGAACGTCGAGAGAAGCGACCTCGAACGAATTCGAACGAGTTCGGGCGAGTTTGGACGCGCCCGAACGCGCGCGAGCGAAAAAATTAGATTGCGATTTTCAAAACGGTCGATAACAGCGGGAGCGCCGCTCCGAGCGCCCCCTCGGAACGCCCGCGTCCCCCCGCGCAGAGCCCCGTTGGCGACCCTGCGGCACGATATTCCCAATTACCCACCTAGAGAATTTACTTCCAACAAAGTCCCCACAAATACCAGTAAACAGCCGTCGCCTCGCGTCGCGCTTCCTTCCTCGCCCGGCAAATTCTAGTAAATCGCCTAGGGACTTTTCCCCCCGCATCGCCCCCCCTTCGATGACCCTTAACACCGTCCCTCGACCCCCTTTCCCACCGCTTACGGCGTTCCCCCCGCGACAGCGAAGCCCCCGCCAAACTCCGCTAACTGCAACTCGCATGCTTGAGGCTCGGAGTAGCTGTTACTCCCCTACTTATATCTCGATATTTTATAACAAAAGATTAAGTTTACAATAAATGACGTCGCCCATCGATTTACCAACTCGAGATTCGGAGAGTCGCGAGATCTGAAATATGTGCCGGCATAGCCGGCACTGGCATAGCGACGTCATAGCACAAGAGAGAAGGAGACAACGATCGTGTTCTGTCCTTTTTTGCGCCAAGCGTACACGGACAGAGGAGCTTGCATTAGTGTGCGTGGCTATGCCCTTGCGCAGCCCACCCGGCGCATCCCCTCCACACGCTGTAACATGCTGGTCGGTCAGCACAGCGGCATCACTGGTCGCCACTCGGTTTTCTCTGTGCCCACTGAGAAAGATATAAGAATGTATATCACTGACCCTTACGATGCCCTCGTCATTCCCTTCTATGTTTCAGGTACGCTGGACGGATCGCCGCTGGACTGCCGCCGTGCACTGCTGGACTGCCTCGGGACCTTCGCTGGACCGCCACGGGATTACCGTCGTGAACGCCGATAGGTAAGAGAGGTAGATATTTTGGGATCAAGATCTTTTCGTGTCGGAAATAAATGTTCACTCGAGACGTTTCGGGTAAAAAAATATTATATTTTCCTTCTTAATACAATTAATATTCTGCACGCGTAACCGCACTATGCGAGCCGTCAATTCTACGTTCGCGTTGTAAGAACGTATCAACATTAAGTTAATGGTAGCGGATTCGCTCCGTACGCGGGACTTCTCGTAATTCGCAGCTCAGATGATACGTATACACGTCCGCACGGTATCACGGCTGACGAGAGACTCCACGAGTGCTCGCCCTTCCTCGCGGTCGCTCGCGCTCGCTATCACGCGTTCGCCATCTGGGATCACATGCCCTTACTGTGCGCTTCCTATTCTTGCACGCGTGTTCGTTCGTCGTTTGTCGCAAACATGTTTTTGTGTCCCTTACTCTCTTCTCTGGAAAGTTCCTACATATATCGGGTGTCCCGATAGTTGCCATTACGATTTCGCATACATGTATATTCGCCGACTCGTTTTACGCTCGCGTTAATTAATTTCAACAGCTTTCGGTACCGTGGCGTCTTCCAAGTCTCGCTGGCTTAGAAGGCGTCACGCTTATTACGGGGTTCTCCCCGTTGCTGCAATGCCACACGCTCGTATCACCCTCTCTCATCTTCTCGAAATTTCGAGTCTGGAAATCCACCTCATGAGTGTGACGAACGTGTGCCGCTGCGCTTACAGCTTAATTTTTATGCCGATCTGATGGATCGTTCGCTAAGTAGCTTCGCGTGCATTAAAGGATGCTTTTGACCTTGGATTCGCTCTCCCTTGGTCTTGTGTATCTCACTTACGTTTTTATTTTCGCGGTACGCTTATTGGCTCGTTATTTCGCGGGGCGTTAGCCTGGCGTTGCAGCTGATCCGTTGGCGCTGTTCGCCTTGTTTCCCTAAACGTAAATTTACTTTTGCGCATCGTCTACCTTACACGGTTCGCTACTTATCGGGGCGTTGGTCGTACGTCGACGCCGACCTTATAGGGTTGTTCGCTGTGACCTGGTACACCCATTTCTGGAGTTTCTTCCAGGAGAAGACCTTCGGGTTCCTACTTCCCGGGGCGTTGGTCGTACGTCATCGACCTCGGTATTTTTGTGTTCGCCAGGTGACATCAAACTTGCCTACAGCTTTCGCATTCGCGTATCACGCACCGTTCGCTATTTCCGCGGGCAGTGACTCTAGGTAGTTGGCGCCTCGGTATTCGCGTCCTACGGACTTGCCCGAAGCCGATCGTGCCCTTGGCTATCGCGTGGGGTATCCCGTTTGCTACTTCGCGGGGTAATGGTCCGCCATTGACGGGAGTGTGCATTGACGTTAGATTCGTCGTGACTTCCCGAAACCATTGGTACCATTTGTCCTCGTAGAAGATGCTTGGTTCGCTACTTCGCGGACCTGGTGCGCTATCGATATAAAAATTGCTCTAACACGTATACCAGGTGTCCCGGAGTCGATTCGCGTTGAGTAACGTTTAATTTCGCGTTTATCTTGTAAACTACGCGTTAAATCGTACAATTAGTAACGGGATCTTATTCTTCGGCTCGCGCTGAAGCTATATTCGAAAGTGGTTTTTTATTTTCGGGAATCCTTTTTCCTGAGTCCCAGGAGTGTGTCCATAACCTTAAAGTGTCACTTTTGTCCTCTATTACGCGTTTTTCTTAATCCTAACCTCGCTCGCGTAATGGTGGGTATTAAAGGAGGTATTGTTAAGAAATATAAATTTTTATTTATACAAAATAAATGTTTTCTTGCCTATATGGCGGATCAGTCTTCGCTGACTAGTGATGGCGTTCAACGCCTAAACAATTCGTACGCGCAATATGGCGTTGAAACGGAAACTAAATGCTCTGCGCAATATGGCGCTTAAACACAAACGAACAAACTTAGTATGCGCAATATGGCGCCTAATGAAACTAATTTTTTGTGCGTAACATCGCGCTGCCTGATTGGCTTTCGCTTATGTTTTCTGTCCCGCGGAATGTCGCCGGTAATTGTTTCCCCTTCGTCGGCGCCATCTTAGGGATGGTCCTCTGTGGCGGTGATGCACATGCACATTTTGGTGTGCTGCACCTCCATCGTCAGATCGTGTCTTTGGAGCATCACCGTTGGTATACCGTGCTTCAACCGCGCCATTTTTGACAAAATGGCTACTGGCACCGGTAATGGCGGCTCGATGCAGGTGATGACCGGGCCTTGCCTAGCCATCGGCTGCAAAGGGAGGATTTCAAGGACCAGGGAAGGAGGATTAGAGAGGAGATATAGAGGAGATGAAAAAATAATTCAGGGATCAGGAGAAGAGATGGAGAGAGGAGAGAGAAGAACTAAAAAAGGGGAAGAAAGAAATGAAGGAAAGGTTAAGAAGACTGAAGGAGAAAGTAGAAGGGAGAAAGGAGGAGAAGAAGGGGGAGGAACGAAGCGAGTGAGTGGAGGTGGAGAGAAGGATGGAAAGGAAGGAGAAGGAGGAAAGAAGAAGAAATATAGTGATAAGGGGGTTAGAGGTAAGAGGAGGTGGGAGGAAAGAAGAGGCAGAAAAGCTACTGGAAAGAATAAAAGCTAAAGTGAAGGCAATAGCGGTGAAGAGAATAGGGGGGGA